CGTAACGGTAAGATAAACACATGGAAACAATGTACCACGTGATTATTAGCATTGTTTTTTCCTGAAGTTCGAGTTCGTCGAACGTATTGGCATGCCATGAAGACTAGACGAATGCCTTGCCTAATCTAAAGGAAAGCGACGCGGTATACTCATAGATGGCCAAAACGTTTTTCTAAGGCCAAACGGGTTCCAACTTCATGGCAAGTTGGAACCCGTGGGTAGCGTACGTAGGTACGTAGTGTAGTGTTTTGAATCAAAGACAATTTGGTCGGGCGACAGAAGCGTGTGAGCGACCATGCCAGTCTGTCGGATTGAGCGTCGACAAAGAGCTGGGAGCAACTGGGAAGCGTCCATGGCCTCATTTTGTTTATTACCATGCAGACGTAGTTGTGAGTGTATCAATTCCTAAAATAGATGGTAAAAATAATACTAAAATTCAGACAGTAAGGTGTTTTCGGTCATGTAAAAGCCATACAACCTTATCGCACTCCAGAAAAATGCTGACAGATAGTGGACTGGAAAAAGTGATGGAAGCTATTGTACAATGTTCTGGATTGAAAAAAAGTCAAGTGCAAAGGTATATACAAAATGAGACTGGATAGTTTAAGCGGCACAACCATTTTGCAGGAGTCTGTTCTGGAGAAGAGTTTGAGCGTTATCAGCGAGTTTAAGTTTTGATTTGGCAAACAGGATTAAATGAAAGATTAGAAGATAATTTGGGTTTCTTTATGACGCAACAATGCAATGGATATAATATTTGTGGCAGTCGTTAGGCCGCACTCCTAGTTAGATCGTGTTAGAAAGACTTGGAAAGAACAAAAAAAATTATTGGTGACCACACAAGTCCTCAATAGAGCGACTGGAGTCATCCTAGTATTTAAGGACGTGGCTTATGAGCAGCGTCTGGAAGGGATGAAGGTTTCTAGTTTGCATGACTTGTGAGAGAATTATTTGCAACTTCAAAGAGACATACAAATACATACATAGTCATAAACTGCTCGAGTTTTGGTTTAAACCAAATACGGAGAGGATTGCTAGGGACAATAAGCTTAAAATAAGGAAAAACATGTGTAGTACCAGGTGAAACAAGCGAAGGAGTGCTGATCGGGAGACTGCACTTATTCTGCAACTTTTGGTCGCTCGATTGAACGGCCTGCCAGTCTTTTGATAGGCACCCATCATGAACACTTCTACAAATGCACTTGATTCTTCCACACCGATCTATTCGACTATATATACCAAGGAGGAGCGTCCGATCATAATAGGGTTGAGCCTTTTGGAATTTTCTGTAGTTTTGGAGATAGGCGTTACCACGCCCCACCTTTTAGCAGCTTGCAAGTCATGTATTCGACGATAGGCCTTGACTTGGCCTAATCATAGAACCGAATCATGTGATGCTATGCTGCGCTATATAAATTTACTTAAAATTTCTTCTGGTGTTTATAGCGTTAATAATTGAACGAATAAGAAGTTCACATGCCACGAAACGCACCACAGACATAGTGCTCCGCGATGTGACCAAAGCCTTCAACTTCGATAAGGAACTGATAGCAAAACAAAATCTTATGACTCAATCTTCACCCGTCTCCTCCAAAACACTTTCTGACTACCCTGCAGAACAGCATCCATCCGAGTAGGCAATTCCTCCTCCCACACTCTATGGCTACTACGTCCATTACCTCCTGCCGCCATTACCTAATACAGAGTTTAGGCACATTCAGCGACAACATTAACTACCCATACAAACAAACAACGGAACAGTCTTAGGATTAAAATTTAGCCTAAGTCCTAAGTAATAGCAAGGAAGCAATAGTTCTTCATACATTTACAAAAAAATACAAGGATTTTTACACCGTTACCCAACATAAAATGCACCCTATACCGCACCTTTGTCAGAACGTCGACTCTGCACAGTGTATAACTTATGCAAAACACCAACATTCCAACTGTAGATCAACAAACACTTGAATTAAAAAAGAAAACACTTGAATTAAACACTTAAAGTCTGACACGCTGGTCCGACTTTATATCTGTACAAACGCTGCACAAACACTTCGATAATAAACACAGTCCTCATCCAATGAAACTTCATAAACTGAGTACACCAAAAAGCGCATATAATATTGTCCGCAAACAAAACATACGACAGCCAGCTCGTCAGTCAACTCAAATTCCCTTCAGGCGCCAAGGAAGACAACTCCAGTTATTCCATATTGCTCCAAAATACTAGCGCTGGTTCTGTCACCTCTACACCTGTACTAGTAACCACCAACCACACATTCCCCTACCACCTCACAACCAGCAATCTGCTCCTGGTCGTCAATTATTGAATGAACGCGCCCAGAGGCATTTGTCCCGACAAAGACTTACGGACTGACGACTGTCCGATAGTGACTTGGGGTAAAAACGAGACTTCTGTGACCTAACATTGAACTAATAAGTTACTTCCCAAACCTACAATCTGAGTCTCGAGCCACTCACCCCATTCATCAATATAGTTATCAACACTATCACCCCTCCCAATATATAAGTTTTTTTTTTTCAAAATATCCAAAATTGAAAAAGGTTAGAAACTAAACTAAAAACGGAACGCCCGTAAACAAAGCACCTACATATCAATCTAATTTTTCTAATTGTACTCGAAAATGTAAATAATGTAAATATTGAACTGAAATATTTCATGATATTTAAAGCAAAATTGTGTCTTGGGCCGGATAGTGAAGGCAGGCCTAATGCGCAGCTAGGTGCTAGGATTGGTGCTAGGAATTCCATTCAAGGGAGATGGTGTTGCAAGGTAGGCAGGCGCCTGATAGGCGTGTTGTAAACACTCCTACCAAGCGTGTTTACACGTGTCTGCACCTACGTTGTTGTTGCAACTCAAATTTAACTTCACTCATAATGTGCGTGATCTTGACTTAATTACATGGTTCATTGCTTGCCGGTGTTTGATAGCCTATCAGCGAACCAATCTTCAAGCATGTGACACAATCAAGGAATTCCAACATTAAATTTTCTAGATCACTGATCACGCGGTTGATGAGGCGCCCACTGCGTGACAAGCGTCCTGGAGGTGCCATCAAGTCGTGCTCAACTTAATTGTCCACGGACGGGCTTCATTGTAGGTCTAGACGGTCATTTAGGCTTAATTTAGTCTCGTGCTTTGAATCACTGTTTGCCCGTTTATTTCATGGACAGTTTTTGACAGTAAAATTATTTGCAATTGTATTTGGATTGACGGTGCTCACAATGTCACTCGCCCGGCCCCGGCGCCCCTGTTCAAAATTGGCGCTACAAAACAATGCTCTTCTTTAGTAGCTGACGTTCGGTACACGATATCGTTTCTCTCTGCTGTATTGTGCACCAAGCTCATCGACACATTATTTATTATAAAGGCGACTCATGTCTCTTAACACTACTTTGACGAAATTGTGGTTGGTAATGCAGTTTCTAAGGTCAACTATTGCTCAATTGTGATTTGAAGCAAGTTTTACTACTATTGTCAAATGATCACGGGAAGACCTGCAAATTTTATGAAATGCTGCTCTTTTAAGGTCAGCTTATTGCCATGCATGTTCGACTAAGAAACCTCGAATGATTGTACAGAGAAAGTAATACATGAAAATATACGTTCGAAGCAGCTGCAACCTGCTCGAGCCGAAAACACGTGACTGTAGGCCTATACTTGAGGCGGGTGTTCGCTACTGCAGCAGAATAAGGCAAGGAACGCGAAAGTTACGGTAGAAACCGACAATGCGAAATTAAATTTACAAATACATGAGATGCTATCTTAACACCCCTCTTCGGCCTATCATTTACTCAACCCATGCATTTCAAGGCTAGGAATCGTATCCGTATATCTGCCAGACAATCTTCAGTCATCCATGAGCGATCGCGGTTATGTTCATTTCCATATTTTAAACAAATATGGACACAGAACTGTCTAGAATAAAGAAACTTATCTTCGTAAAAAAACAAATGCTTGGTTACACAAGTTCTTTTTCATAACCTACAAACACAAACATGATCATAACCTTGCTTTTGAACAGCTTGCTCGCCGTGCTGTCCAGTTGATTCACGTAAATATCGATAATTATCGAGGCTGTAACCACTCCAATTTCTTACATCATTCGATTCACTTATTATTTCAAGTTACGTTTTCCACGTGTTGTTCATGACTTGTATCAGCAAGTGGTACAGTAGGTTCTTCTGAGAATATTGATTTTCAAAGTGTGATTCAAAATATCAAATCATTATTATCATTAGTTATTCGCTCGTATGGCATTCCAATAATAAAATCGAACCTAACAAGTTTCACGAAGTGAAAATATTATGGAACAACACATCAATGTGTTGATTTAGAATGAATTTAGGAAAAACGAATGATAAGTTCTTCGGTTAGCTTCCTGTGGAATAAATTTTGACAATTAATTGGGGATAATTTGCTAAATGAATGTTTCAACCGGCACCAAAAGTGTATCCAAGTTCCATGTCTTAAAGCGGATTGTTGCCAGATATATCCTGTCCTCTTATTGAAATTGTGCCACTATGATTGAACCAGGAATAATCTCCCTATCAAAAGAAAGCCACCAGAATCTCCTAGCAGAAAGAAAAGGCAGCAGGTCACAGCCAGCTCGGTTACGGACAATTCGGGATGAAATAGGGGCGTTGTCTCGTAACAATCCATTTAAATTTTCGTGGACTCTAATGCCAACGGACAGAATTTAAGCGTTCTCTTTTTACACCAAAAAGCAAGATATCAGATGTCGGTAACATAAAGCTGCTGCAGCGAGCTTTCAGACAGCAGTAAGATACAGCTGATGTTCGACAGCAGTTATATCCAGCTGATGGAACATATTATCCGACAGCTGTAACACACAGCTAATGCAGCGAGCAGCCTAACTGCTACAATAAACTGTTCCCAATTCAACACTAAAATTGAGCAATTTGCAATACGAACAGTGCGGCAGGAATGAAACTCTATGGCAAATTCAATCATGTTTTCATTAACCAAATTAGGCCTGTGCTAAATACATATTATTGTCTTTGACTCTTCAGTAGTAGATGCAGCGCCTCCTGCAGTTGTGAATTTTGGGGCACCGCTGGCCCCGCGGGTGGCATGCGATCGGTGATGTGGAGGTAGACCACTTCCCTGTGGGGGTACGGCTGTGTTACTGCCAGCACAGCAGAGTTATTGAAGCCTTATCAACACGGAAGTGAATATTCTTAATGCCATGTATTGAATTCTGGATGAAATGAATTGAATTCTGGAACTACATGAAAAGATCCGGTCAAATGACACGATTTTCGATCTTCTGTGAACAAGGCACGAAAAGGAAAAAAAATCGGCGACAGGCCACATCAGGCCTACAATTCAGCGCCGACATCACTATGTTATGTTATGTAGCACATGCAGTTTGTAGTTGACATTTTGCGGCGGACAATGACAGCACCAGCACAATATCATTTACGTGTTTTTATGATTGACATGATAATGAAAATATCGAATGAAAATCAAGTAAGTATAATTCGATTTTGCTATAATACCATTACAACATTCGATATCATCATATTGATATATCAAATTATGATTGACATGCCACTGGTAATTTAATGATTGATAATTGCACTCAGTCATTTGGTTAATCGCCAATTGAATGGGCGTCCTACAGGAGCGTTCTATAGTTTGATCATTTTGCAGTGGCCATCAGTATTACATAGGCTCGTGGAGTGACCATTAGTAGGACATTTTTCTCCACAGCTGCTCGTGGAGAAATATTCGGCCTTCAACTAAGGAATTTTGTGAACACACGATAAAAAAATCCCATTGTAGTCGCTAAGTGTCCGCTGTCTCACTTTCACTCACTTAACAACTCCGGCGCGCGTGTCACCATCGTCGTCCGTTCTGACGCCGTTAACATACAACTCCTGCAGCAGCAGTCGCAGCTCCGGAGCACGCAGTCTGGTGCCGAGCAGCCCCAGCCCTCCAAACCTGCCCACCCAAACTGCAGTGTCATTCCAGCAGATCCTTCAATACACACCTCACGAGAGGGCTCCTGCGTGTTGACTATGATGCTCCTGCTTGATTAATATGACTACTTGTTGACTATGATGCTCCTACTTGATTATTATGACTACTATGCTCCTACTTGATTACTACTTAATTACTATGACTACTTGTTGACTATGATGCATTGCTCATCGGGTGACAAAGCCAAGTTCGTCCCCCAAACTCAATACAGACGTTATTGCGTCTGTTGATATAAACACGAACTAACGCTGGAAATGCCAACAAACCATCAACGCTGGAAATAGCAATAATAATCAACGCTGGAAATAGCAATAATAATCAACGCTGGAAATAACAATAATTCTCAACGCTAGAAATAACAATAACAATCAACTCAGCGTTGAAGGACGAACCATCAACGCTGGAAATAACAATAACAATCAACGCAGCGTTGAAGGACGAATCATCAACGCTGGAAATAACAATAACAATCAACGCAGCGTTGAAAGACGAACCATGAACGCTGGAAATAATGCACAAACATCAGGACAAAAGCAACACAAGTTGCTGCCTCCGAGGGCCACGGTGTGACGCACCTTTTGCCAGAGGGTGCGAGGGAGATGAAGGTCTGGGCTACGGCTGCCCAGGAGCCCTCGTCTGCCTCTTCCACGAACAGTCCTGGCATGGGGGAGAGGGGCAGCGGCCACGTGCTGTCTCT